CCTTTAATTTACTTTTAGGGTTTGATCCGTACCCGGCGCCGTGTCGGCTCCGGTGGCCGTGCAGGGGAGGGGATCTGCCGCGAGAGGGCGCGGTGTGCCCACGGATGCATTTGGGCCTCCCCTCCCTCCCTGTCCCGGACACGGTGGTGGGGGGAGGATGGGGACACACACACAAACCAGAACGGGTGGCAGATCTCTCTGACAGCCCTCTACTAGTAAAATTATCCAGTCCTTGCTCCGTGGAGGATGGTCTTGGGCTGGGTGTGCATATTCCTTGATGGGGGGGGAAAACTGGATTGGGAAGGAGGAGCAGGTTTGAAATAATGAACTTAATCAGAAAGTCTGTGGGTGTAGGTGTGTGGTGGAATTAATAGTCCCAGAGAAAGGTAATAAAGCTGGAGCAGGAAAATGCGAAGTTTCCACAGAAATAAATGTGTTATTAATTAAATGAATGGATTTTGTGTCTGCAAAAGTATGTTGTTAGACACCAAAACAAGGAAATATGCTAGGTGCTTTGTACAGACAATACAACATACAATATAAATTCTGTTAGCTCTGTGAATGTTGACAGTGTCTTACAGCAGTGGGGAAGAAGAACCAGATTGACCTTAAAGTGGTGCTTGCCGTCAGGCTGATCATAGAATAACACAGGGTTGGAAGGGACTTCAAGGATCATTTGGCCCAACCTCTCTTGGCAAAAGCACAGTTTAGACAAGATGGCCCAGAAGTTTGCACAGGTCGATGGTGAGGAAATGGTGGCCCTTTGGGAGTCAAACTGGTTTTGTATTGTAAATGCCAGGACTCCAAGTGCAAACAGTGTGTGTACGGTGCTTAGTTTAGTTTAGATTATGAACCTGTATTCTTAAGGTAATACAGAATATGTCTTGAATGCTAATTATTATTTTTTTAATTTAATTTAAAAAGGCCGGGTACCGTGGCTCTCCGTGAAATCAGGCGCTATCAAAAGTCTACTGAACTTTTGATCCGCAAACTTCCCTTCCAGCGTCTGGTGCGTGAAATTGCTCAGGACTTCAAAACAGATCTGCGCTTCCAGAGCGCTGCCATCGGTGCTTTGCAGGTGAGCGCTGCCAGGGGGAGCACCTGGCTGGGGGGCTGCCTTGGAGTGGTGCTGGTGGAGGCTGCCTCTCAGTAGGCATGGGTCACCGCTGTCAGGACTGTCACAGTGAGACCCCCGCCAAAACCTGGAGACTGAAGGTATGGGAGGGCTCCACCTCCCGCCCCTATTGGCCAGGCTGTTTCTAGGCTTAGCCCCAGCTCTGCGTGATTGGTGTGTTGCTGTGGTGGGCGTGGCCCCTCTGGGACGTCGGGGGTTGACATCAGGGGGATGCCCCCCACAGGCTTCCCGTGCTCAGAGTGGACCTGGTGATGCCCTACCAGTACCACAGGCTAAAATAATGCAGTGACAAGTCCTCAGCTCCTTACAGAGGCTATAAATATGTTACTTTTTTGAGAAGGGGAGGGGAGTGCGGTTCTTTTTTTTTAAATAGCCCCCACCCCCCCCAAAACCCCCCAAGAATTTGCACTGGACAGAACAGTACATTTTATAAACATAAATCAACATAAAGCTGTTGCCTCTGTCCATGAGGATTGTCAGAGGCTTTGTCTTTGAAAGCTGCGAAGTCTGAGAGGAAAGCATTGTCGTGTCAAGCTTGTTCTTGTGTGTCCAAACGATGGTCTTGGTATCCTTGAGTGCTCTTTAAAGAACAACAGCTCGATAAGCCACATCTAAACATGGCTGGGGAAATGTGCTTTTATATGATGTAGTTGATGCTAAATGCATTTTTAAAAATATATTAGTTGAATAACTTATTTAGAGTATATTGAGGGTAAAATATTGATTGCTTTTTCTGGCCCAAATTCCTGCATCTGAGTTAAGAACACAGTCTTGGAGGGGACCTATCACGGAAATGTTTCCCTCTTATGATAGAAATACATTCCTGATTAAAGATAAGTCTTTACTGTTCTTTTAGCTGTTGTAAGATTGTTCTAGAACCTATCTGCAATTGTAGAATATCTGATACGTGAGCAAAATTGTCTTTTTCTGGTTAATGACTTCTACTTGATACGGGCCAAAACTTATGCTATGAGGTGCTATAAACTTGAGTATGTGCTTGGCTTCAAAAGGTGTCTGCATGCATTTGCAAAGTTGCTGCTTTTGCTTATTGTTGTTGTTCTGTCCTCACTGCTGTGAGTGAATGTGGAGATTCTTAAATCCTGAGGCTTACCTACATGTCTTTTTGTCAAGAACTGCTTATTAAGATGTAGTCAGTCAATACATTTTCAGAAGGCTGGTTTTGCATTAAGTTGCTGGTATAGAACTTGTTCACATACTATTCCTAGCGCTTCCTGCTTGCACATTTGCAAAAAAAAGCCCCAGCCCTTTTAACTCCTTCAGTGCCATGTTATTTGTGCCAGCATGGCTTATTTGGTGAGGTCTCTTAACTTATTGTGTAGTGATTTAGCAAAACTGCATTAGAGAAATTTATAGTAGCTATATCCCACTGGATATGCTGACCCCATGATTCTCACAGATGTGTGAGGCTGTACTGTGTGCCCCATATAGACAAGGGGTGCTTAGACAGGAAGAGAGATAGGAATAGGACAAGTGTCTGATGGTAGTTCTGAGATTGCTGTCCCGTTTTTGGTGATTCAAGGTGTTCCTGAGTCAAAGGGGTTGTCGTCTTAGGTCTAATAATTCTCAATGTGTTTTTTCAGCTAATTTTTGGCTGTTGAATTAGCCATATCTTCAGTATCCTATGGCAAGGAGCTGTGTGCCTAAACTGTGAGTTGCGAAGGAATACCTGCTCGTCTCTTCCCTAGCACCTCCCAGTTTCACTTGATGCTCAATAGCACTTACTCTGGAAGAGGTAGCAGACAAGTTACTCAGACAGTGTAACCCAGCCTTGAAAAGAAGTTGCTAGACAAGCTAACCCTTTGATAAGACAATCCCTTACCTTGTGAGTCCCGTCACAATATTGGTTGTGTTCTGGAGGATATATTCACTGCACAGCAGTAGTAAACAACTTTGATGTAGAATATTATTTGGTGGTTTATAAGAAAATGGAGACTTTTATTGTTTTGACAATATAAAACTTTTGGTATTTATGAGTAATAAAGATAGAAGACTAAACTTAGTGTCATATTATGTAGTACTTTGAATTATTGTTACTGTAGTTTTCTAGTGCTCGGAGACTGAAAGTGTTCTTATCTCTTTTCTTCTTACACTAGGAGGCAAGTGAAGCCTACTTGGTTGGCCTGTTTGAAGACACCAACCTGTGTGCTATCCATGCCAAACGTGTCACAATCATGCCAAAAGATATCCAGCTAGCACGCCGCATACGTGGAGAGCGTGCCTAAACTTCACTATAATGGGTTTGTCATTCTCGAAGCAAAGTCTTCTTCCTGTTATTGGTAGTAATGAACGTTAGATATTTTTTCCATGGGGTTAAAAGGTACCTAAGTATATGGTTGCAAATGGAAAAATAGGGGACAGAATTGGGTATTGGCAAGTTCTTTTCCATTTTCATTTGTGTGTGGATTTTTAATATAAATGAGGGGGCATAAAACATCAATGCGGTCAAAAAATGTTTCAGTGAACAAGTTTCAACAATTCAACTTTATAAAAAAAAAATTATAAATAAACCTGTCAAATTTTTCTGGACAATGCCAGCATTTGGATTTTTTTAAACAAGTAAATTTCTTATCAGTGGCAACTAAATGGTGTTTGTAGCATTTTTATCATACAGTAGATTCCATCCATTCACTATACTTTTCTAACTGAGTTGTCCTACATGCAAGTACATGTTTTTAATGTTGTCTGTCTTCTGTGCTGTTCCTGTAAGTTTGCTATTAAAATACATTAAATGATGCCTGATTTTAGTCTTGATTTTTAAATATTGCATGTGGGTTATAGTTGTTAAAAAAAATCAGCCTTCCCTTTTTCTCTCCAATATGTGGCCTGAATATTACAGCAGATCTAGGAAACAAACACTGGAGATAGACTACTTCAACTGCAGTAGTGTCTGTGAGGGTTTTTGTTTTTTTTTTTTAAGAGTGTAAGATTTCTGCCTGCTCCATGTGAAAGCAAGTTTGGTCGGTATGTATTACTGGGTAGAGTCTGGAGCCAGACCGAGCTCTCTTAAGCTGTAGTGCTAAGAAAAAGCACTTTTGTTCCTATTTAGGTTCCTTTCTTACTCAACTTAATGCTAAATATTGAATAATTTCTGATTTTCGTACTTTGTTAGTATGATGTAAGTGGTGGGGTGGTTTTGGGGTTTTTTTGTGTGTGTGTGTGTTAGGATTTTGGGGGTGGGATTTTTTTTGTTTTGTTTTTAAAACCCTTTTGCACTCTGGTTTCTTGGTTTGTAGATGTTCATTTTTTGGTTGACTACTTTTTTGTTTCAGTCACACCCTCTCGCATGTTTGAGAGCTTAGTTCAGGTGTGATTAGTTTCAGTTTGTACACTGCAGTCAAAAAGACACTTTTGTACTGTTTCTGTTAGTTACAGTACTTCATAGAAGCAGTACTTAGACAAAAGCACACATTTGAAACATAATTGCTGATGAAAGATCCTGTGAAGAAATGTACTGCTGAAATTCTGTTCTATAAAAACTTTGTTGTAATTTTTCACCTGAAACTTGGTTAAGGGTTCTGATGAATTTGGAAATGAGTTGTGGTGTACTTTTTGATAGCTCTTAGAGATAATGAAATGAGTTACAAAGAAGAAAATATGTAGGCAGTGAACAGATTTCACCTTCATGCTAAGATACCTACAGAGCTTATTTGCTGCTAACCTCTTTTGAGAGGTACTGAATGAGCTCTAAACACACAAGTGAATTTGTCTGAAGATGTCCGGAGAGGACTGACAGAGATGTATTATCTGCTTTGGTATCTTGAACAGAGCACCAAAAATTACAGAATAAATCACATTATTCATAACTTGCTTGGCTCTAGTAATGAATGCCGTCTGCCAGGGTTGTACAGAGTAAGGTCTATTTAAATGGAGTAGCTTGTCACAGAGAAAACTAATGCTAGACAAAATGTGAGCACATCCTTTTGATGCCAAGCAGTTCATAGCTATCAGCTGAAAATTAAGGAAGACTTGTCTTGGAGCATCTAGAACAACAGAAATATAAAAGGTGAGCAACTGAGACTTAGCTGATTTGAGATGTCACTTCTGTCTACCTGATAACAACCCTGTTAAACTTGCTATAAATGCATTTCAATATAATTAACTACTTGTTTTGTCCTATACTTCCGAATTCTGTTTAATGCATCAGTCAGCAATGCTGTAACCACCTACACAAAATGATAATTAGACTGGTTTTTTTTTTAAATAACCTGGAATTAAAGTATTGATAAGGAACTTACTTTTTTTCTCTCTTAGGTATATTAGAAAAATGGATGTAGAGATTTTTGGTACTTGAATGAAATAGCGAGTTCTTTCCCTTAAGGTGAGGAATATCCCAGTTTAACTGACAGTGCAGTTACGCTGTTCAAGGCAGAAGAATTCAAGAATGGAAGTTGAGGGGATTTGGAATCTCTGCAGTTGACAACGCTTAAGTGTGCAGTGCTGCTCCTAGAGCTTAGGGATAATCAACACTCAAAGAGGGAAAGTTTGTGATGGTTGTCCGAGAGATGGGCAGTTAGGGCACACATAGATCATTAGAGAAGATAGGATGCAGGTCGTTATTTAGAGTTAAGTTTTAAGCTGTGGATGTGATCCTGGAGCTCTTCCTTTGGTCACTTCAGGATTGCAGGTTCCTGCTCCATGAGGTGAAGAAGAAGGGCAGACAAAATAGTTCTGTTCCAGTTACATGCAGTGGTGTGGTTTAAAAACAATTGAAGAATCGTGTTTTGGTCAATGCAATTTCCTCACTTGGCGTGGTGCTGTTTAGAGTGAGCAGTAGCTGCTGGTGGCCCTGTTCGCTGTCTGCAGATGCAGGTTTGGGCATCAGCTAAAAAGAAACCCAGCCTTTAGTCTAAAGTCTGCAGATATTTACCAAACAGGCATTGCATTTTGTTGTCTTACTCTCCATAGCCTGGGCTGCTTCCTCTGGAGCTGATAGGTGGGGAAGTGAGTTGTGGGGGGAGTTATCTGACCTACAGGTTGGCGATCCACTGAAACATTCTTGCTCTTGGGTGTCCTAAATATTCTTTTAATAAAACAAGAGATGATCCTCTCAGAAGCGTACATGCCTGCTTGTTGGATGAGGTAATTTTTGAGGAAACTATTGACAAACAAATATTAATGGAATTGAAATAAATTAGGGTTTGTAGTTGGTTTTTGGTGTGTTTTGTTTTGGGTTTTTTTGAGAAGCAGGCTTTTTCTCAGCCAATTTTGCAAGCACTGTCTTACAAGATTCCTAGTATCTACAACTGCTGTGTGTTGAAGAAATGGTAATATTTAAAGGTGTAAATTCCTATTAACTATCGGTGTTGGGAAGTTGTAGGGAGAGGGAATACCATCAAACTTGATTGTGAGCTAATTTAAGAGTGACAGAAAAATCTGCTTGAGTCACATATACTGCATTCTCTGCAAAAAGAAATTATGGTTTACATACAAAAGAGATGTAACACTGAATTAAAGCATTCTCATTCTGTGAAAGGAGTGGCTTCAGGTTCCGCTTTCACATTTGGTAAAAAAAAGCAGTCCCTGAAACAGTTCACTTCTTTTTTCCCTCCTCATAACAATTCTGCTATTTCCTGGGCAATTCAATTGCAGCTGAGTTTTTGAATACCAGAAACAAGTTGTGGTCATGTGGAGATCCTCTTGGGGAGGAGTTTAACTATTGGGTGAAGGGATGGATGTGAGGTGGCTCCTTATTTGTTAGTGACAAACATACTCAAAGGGTGAGTATCCTTGCATGTATGTCTGGATTTCAATTTCTAAATTATTTTGTGAAGATCTTTATAACATGTATGTAATAAGCTGTTTTTTAGGTCATGGTTTTAGATTTGTATGTTAACAGCTGTATTTACTTGCTATTTTTCTCAAAAGTAAATACAAAACAATTTTATTTCCCCTAAGTTGGATGCTTTGTATTGGCAGCACAAAAAGCAAGCTTGCGTACCAGAGTAAAAAATTAATGTATTGGGAAATAATTTCAGATGCAAGATCAGTCTCTCTCATGTGGCTGTATCAAATTCAACTGGTAGTTCTTGAGAGCTTGACTAATGTGAAGCTTAAACTCAGCATTTTAGGTTTTTGTTTAGAAAAGTAACTTGCTGAATATAAAGTAATTAATAGTAGTGTATCTAGGTTTAAGTGAAGCATTGCTGAGCTGGGTTCATCCAGCCCTTTATCCTGTCTGGCAGAAGCTGTTAGGTGATGCCACTGTCCAGGGACCAAATTCATCAATGCCAGCTCTACAACAGGTTGTAGCACCTACTTGAAATTACCAATGCTGTCTTGTTCAGGAAGGAAAGTAAGTGCAACTATTTCTGCTAAAGTAACGGCTCACTAACAGTCTCTTACACTGGTGAATTTTTGGGATGCATTTTTTTCCTGGGGTTCGAGTAGTTTGGAATTACTGTCCCAGGACATGCATTCATGCCTTCTGACTTTCATTAGATTTTGTGACCACTTAGTGATTTGAATCTACCTTTTGCTGTGACTGAAACCAGCATGTCTTGCACACATACTTCCTGTGCCACAGGTTTTGATAAATTAGCCAAATAATTTGACTCGGTATATCTGCTTGATCTGAAGTGATCGAGCTGGCAGGGTAGTAGAACTATCCATTTCCATAGCAGTATACAGTTTTGGTTCAGTTTCACAATACTCTTAACCCATACTTATGCCTGTGCTACCATTCTAATACCAGCTTTTCCTGTCATGCTTGCCTCTTGAAAGTCTGTGATGGGTTACTTCAATTTGTCTTCCAGAGCTTAATTTTAAGTTCATGGTTTAATGGAGCACAAGCAGTGTTTGGATTGAAGATGCTGATTGCATTGTTTACTGCAATTTTGTCTCTTACTATAGTAAACAAACCCATGCAACTTTTTTTGGTCTTCATAATGAATAAGGAGTTAAAAAACACTTTTCATGTAACTGGGATTCAAAGGCTTGAATTCAGAGGGAGAATTCTAGTGTCAGGAAAGTTTTTCCCTGGTCCAGATCACCCTGTTGATGCTGGGGACCTGTTTACTTTGCTTTTGCTTGTGTATTATTCCCATCGGTATGTATAATACGTCATCCTCAGTGATGGGATTTTTTTGCACCAAGTGAATGTTGCAGACTTCCTTATGGCAGGTTTGCCTACAAACAGACACGTATTTTGCTGAACAAAAAGCCACTGTTCATGGTTTGTTTTTTTTTTTTAAAATCTGAAGAGGCTTTATCTTCTGACCTGGATAATATGATGTCAAAAAACCCACTAGCTCAGTGTGTGAAAAACACTACATCTATCAATAGTAGAATTAAAAAAAGACTTGCGACTGCGTAGGCTGATCTGCTTAATGTAAGCTACTGAATTTCATCAGATAGTGCCTAATCCAGTTCATACTGATGTTTTTAATTTAAAACACATGGTGCTTAGCAGTGCACGTAGCAAGGGGTTAAAGACTTGCTATAGAAGACTGTGTGTGCACCAAAAACACCTCTAGGGAATATGAAGGGACTGTCTGGTTTCTGTCTGGGAGAGTTACTGTCACATCATTGAGGCAAGAAATCACTCTCAAAAAAAACCAAAACCCCGCAAACTAAGAATTTATTACTTTTTGTGTATGTTTTGGAAGGGTGCCTCAGCATAGCATGAGCCCTCTTTCAGGGTTATATTTCAAGCAGTGTTTGCCTGGTTAGAGGAGCACACCTACCCCTTACTGCCTGGTCTCATGTTGTCAGACAACTACTACTTGAAATGCATC